CTGGATTTATGTAATTTAATGTTATTTTATGTTTTCTGTTTCTGGGAGGGGGAAAATAGGTGTATTTATTTATGTAAAGTTGATTTTGTATGTTTATCTATTTCTGAGAGGGGTAAAATAAGTGTATTTATTTATGTAAAGTTAATTTTATATGTATGTTTGTTTCTGAGAGGGGCAAAATAAGTGTTTTTATTTATGTGAAGTTGATTTTATATGTATGTCTGTTTCTGAGAGGGGTAAAATAGGTGTATTTATTTATGTAAAGTTGATTTTATATGTATATTATTTTTGAGAGGGGTAAAATAGGTGTATTTATTTATGTAAAGTTAATTTTATATGTATGTTTCTGAGAGGGGTAAAATAGGTGTATTTATTTATGTAAAGTTGATTTTGTATGTATATCTATTTCTGAGAGGGGTAAAAGGGATATGTTTATGGAGGTGTTTGTCGTGTAATTCATTTATGTTTACTTTTTTTCAATTTCGTTCTCCCATTATGCGCGTCGTGTTTTTCAAACGAAATTAATTAACAATTAATGTGTCGTGAATATTCTTTTATGTCGTTTTGTATCGTTCTTTTTCCTTCTCTTCCTCCCTTCCTCCTCCCTTCCTGATCTCTCCCTTACCTCCCTTCCCCCATTCTCTCTCTTCCTCCTTTTCTCCCTTTTTATCTCTCTCCCTCCTTTTCTCCCTTTCTGTCTCTCTCCCTCCTTTTCTAGCTTTCTATCTCTCTCCCTCCTTTTCTTCCTTTCTATCTCTCTCCCTTCCTTCCTTTCCCCTTTCCTCTCTCCTCCCGTCAACGTCGCTCGCTCTACATCCCTTCTTCCTTCCTTTTCTCTCTCTCTTCCCCTTTCCCTCCTCTCGTCAACATTGCTCTCCATCCTCCTTCCTCCCACTTCTCAATTCTCCCTTTCGTCTTCCCTCTTCCTCTCTCCTCACTCTCTCGTCAGCATCGCTTTGTATCCCTTCCTCCCTTCCTATTCTCCTTCTCTCCTTCCCCTCCCTTTTTCCTTCCCCCTTCCCTCCTCCCTTCGTTCCCTTTCCTCATCTTTTCCCTCATTCCCTCCTCCCTTCCTCCTCCTCCTCCTTCCTCCCTTACCCTCTTTCCTTCCCCTTCCTCCTTCCCTTCCCCTTCCCTCCTCTCTTCGTTCCCTTCCCTATTCCCTTTTACCCTTCCCTCCTCCCCTTCCCTTCCCTTCTCCCATTCCCCCTCCCTTACCCCCTTCCTCTCTTCCCCTTCCTCCTTCCTCTCTTCCCCTTCCCTTCTCCGTCACCTTCTCTCACCCCCCGCCCTTCTCCTTCCTCCCTCCCCTTCCCTCCTTCCCCCCGTCCCTCCTTCCCTTCCTTGCATTCAACCCAAACTTTTCCTCTTATCTTTCTTCATTATCGTCTTGCAACTCTCTTGCGCTCTTCATGCATTATCTCCCCTCCTCTATCCTTCTCTCACGTTGTNTGAGACGAGAGAGAGAGAAGAGAGAGAGACGCGAGAGAGAGAGGAGAGAGAGGAGAGAGAGAGGGAGAGAGAGGCGAGAGATAAATGAGAGATAGAATAAGATAGATAGATAAGATATATAGAAACAGATAGATAGATAGATAGAGAGATAGGGAGACAGACAGATAGATAGAATAGATAGTAGACAGATAGATAGAAACAGACAGACAGATAGACAAAACGGACAGATAATCATCTAGGAAAATCTGAATCGTGTCAAAAGAGAAACTCTAGTAATGAAATGACATTTGATGATTAATATTTTTTCGAAATATATGTTATATGTCCAGTATAGAATCCATTTGCAAGTTTCCATATTCATCTATGTATATAACCTTCAGACTGTGAATATAAACTGTCATTACGTGGCTATACACAGATTTGCATGTACGAACACACAACCACAAACAAAACACACACACACACAAGAGTTCGAAATGACTATCTTTTAAATATTTTTTTTGTGTTTCCTTTTTATTATTACATGTGTGAATGGTGTATGCATGTTATGTGTCTGTGTGTGATGTGTGTCTGTGTGTCTGTGTATATGTATATGGTTATACAAATGTGGTTGTGTGTGTCCATCTTACACATATATATAATATAATATTATATATATATATATATATATATATACTATAAATATATATATGTATATATCATATAAATATACATATACACTATATATATATATATATAATATATATATATATATATATATATATATATATATATATATTATATGTGTGTGTGTGTGTGTGTGTGTGTGTGGTGTTGTGTTGTGTGTGTTGTGTGTGTGTGTGTGTGTGGTGTGACTGTGTGTACATTACAGATATATTATATATATACTTATATATATATATATATATATATATTATATTATATATTATATATTATATATATAACTATAATAATTATGATATATGTACACCACACACACAACACACACACCACAGCACACACACCACACATATATATACATAATATATATATATATATATATATATAT